CTCTCCCCTTCTCTTTCTCAGGATTAATAAAGATCATTTTGACAATATTTCCATACAAATCCCCAGTATATCTCAATCAATCGAAAAAAAATATTATTCAATTAATTTTATGCATTCAAATGTTTTTTTGATAATTGAAAATAATGAAAATAATAAAGAAAGTCCATATTTCAATATGAACGTAAAAGAGAGAGACTTGTTTAATTGTTTTTTTATTACGTTTTTTTGATTAATCATTAATTCTTTTTAATTATTCGCATTTCTTGTTTAGCAATTAACATCTGTATTTGCATTAATAAACATTAATTAAATAAAAAATATTATGTCCACGAATGTTGTTTATGATTGTTCACTTTGTTAAAGCTTAAACATATTCTTTGAGCACATAATATTAACTATATGAAAAATATATATTAAAAATATATATATTAATTTGTTTTACATTATAATATCGTAAAAATACATATTATGAAAGAAATAAAATACATAGATCAAATGTTTCCTTGGTGAAAATTTTTCTTAGAATTCTTCGCATAATTTTTCATAACTTCTGTATCAATTTTAAATTTTGTTAGAATTTCTGTATAATTTTGTATTATTATAACTTTTTAAAAATTTTCTAAAATTTTGCTTTAATCTACAATACTATATGTTAACAAATAGGTTGGCGACAATGCAACAGTTTGCTTCAAAGCTGAGCCTTGGATGAATTATTGCGTAGAACCGCCATGCGGTCAGTTGAATCCTACTAGTGAAAGAGTGTATGAGATTCTTGAAGGAATTTATAAGGATATGATAGAAGATTTTCAACAGCCGGACATCTTCCATATGGGCGGTGACGAAGTAAACATTAACTGCTGGCGATCCCAAAAAATTATCACCGATTGGATGTTAAAGAAGGGATGGAATCTTAAAGATAACAGCTTCTATCTATTGTGGGATTATTTCCAGAAGAAAGCTCTGGAAAAACTGAAGATTGCCAACGGTGGCAAGAATATTTCGGCTGTCTTATGGACCAGCGGATTGACGAACGAGGAAAATCTTAAACATCTGGATCCTAAAAAATATATCATTCAGATTTGGACACTTGGCAATGACCCAACTATCGGCCGATTGTTGCAAAACAATTTTAAGATTATTTTCTCAAATTATGATGCTTTGTATCTTGATTGTGGGTAAGAAAACATTTTGTAGAATTGGGTTATATTCACCTTTTTTAAATTGTAATATATTAAATAGATAAAGTTCTCAAAAAGTTTTCATATTATTTTATATTTATAAAGATTTTAAAAAATAAACTTAAATATAAATTTTCTTCGGAAATTATAAGATGAAAAATCGTAGAATGTTTCAGAATTTGTGTATATAAAGAATTGTAAAAGGAATTCTACAAAAGATGTGAATTTTTTCAACATTTTTGAAAAGTGTATCAATTTGAGAAATTTTTTTAAATAGTCAGAAAATTATATAAAATGGTGAATTTTTAAAACTTTTAAAATTTATGTAGAAATTTTGAAAAAATATGTGACAATTTCTAAAAAATTTTTATTATAAATGTATCAGTATTTGACTGTTTGTAAATAAAAAATTAGTATAATTATTATATAATAATTATCACGTTAATTGACGTTATTATATAATAATTATCATGTTAAATATATTCTATGAACATACATACTAAATCTTAAGATTAAATATTAATTATATTTTTTCTTTTCATAGATTTGGAGCTTGGATAGGTGAAGGCAATAATTGGTGCTCGCCATACATTGGATGGCAAAAGATCTATGAAAATTCTCCGTTAGAGATAATCAAGAAACAAGGATATGGAAATAAGAAGCATCTCATTCTAGGTAAATTCCCTGTTAAAGTATTATTAAGACTTTACGAATTGTGCGTTATGAGATAATGTTAAAACGTTAAATAAAGATCTACATAAAATTCATCTACATAATCACATCTACATAACACAATCACATCTACATAAAATTATTGTTGCATTATTAAAAATTGTTTGTGTTATCTTAATACATTCAAAAGAAAAAGAGAATGCTTAGAAATATTATTAAGACTTGTTGATTAAAACTAATTTAATAGAAAAAGATATACAGATTTTACAATCGTTAACACACGTAGTTTATAACATTGATGCGCTGAATAATTACAATTTGATTGATCACATATTTGTGTTATATGTATTTGTTTCATAGGTGGAGAAGCAGCACTTTGGACCGAACAGGCGGACAGCGCGAATATTGATATGAAATTGTGGCCAAGATCGGCCGCGATGGCTGAAAGATTGTGGAGCGAACCGAATTCCAAATGGCATCACGCCGAACACAGAATGTTGAAGCATCGCCAGAGACTCGTCGAATTACAAAAAATCAACGCGGACAGTTTAGAACCTGAATGGTGCTTGCAAAACCAAGGTTCGTGCTACGCGTAAACAATAAACCTATATTATAAAAATTTGTATCTGTTTTGTTTTTACGCAATTTCATTGTTTCTACATATTTGATATTACATTATTAAATAATTCTCATAATATGAAAAAAAGTTTTCATATTTTATATTTATAAACATATTATATATTATTTTGAAAAATAAACTTAAATATAAATTTTCTTCGGAAATTATAAGATGAAAAATTGTAGAATGTTTCAGAATTCCTGTATATAAAGATCTGATATTAGATTATTAAATCATCATATTTTAATCTTGTCGTCATTTTGCTTTTCCTTACATTTTTTTCCTTTCTTCGTCTTCGTAGAAACCTCATTAATATTTGATAAAAAGTTCAAAAGTTTCATGTTATTTCGATTACAATTACGGTGCAAAAATTATACTGCAAAAATATTACATAAAAATTAAATTTTTCTTAAAGAAAAATTTACATACTTTGTATTTAAAAGAAATCACATATTTTTTCATTTATTTTATACTTAGATATTTAATTAAGAACAATCTGATTATCTAATAAGTTACGTCGTAATAATTATAATGTTTATTAACATTTTGTAAAATAAAACTTATGTGATTTGTCCTCTAATTATAAATATAAATAAATAAAAGATGATAATATGTTATAATCGGAATGAACTTTATCTTTTTATTCACATTCATAATATTTTCGAATTGTGAAGAAAAATAGATGGCTGCGTAGAGAAAAAACAGAAAAAGCAGCTTTGCAATTGTTGAAAGATTATTCAATAATATAATTGTTTTATATTTTATGTATTTAGATTCACTGATGAAGTAAGTGCAAGAACCAGTCATATTAAAAAGTCTTACAACAATTGTGTGTCGTGTAAAGCTACTTTTTCTGTTGAATGCAGTCTATAAATGTTAGCTATATAAACCAATATCGTACATTGAATGTATCGGGATAATTGGGATTGAGGAGCTGTCATTGTTTTTCTTGATGAAATTCGAAATTTATTTATCGCAGAAAATATATATTTGCGGTACATAATCGATATTTTTTGAGAGCTGCGATAATATATTTCGATACGCATATATACATTCCTATATGTATTAATTCTTATATATGCTTCTTATATATGTTGGCTTCATGTGAGAATGATGAACTCGTAAAATTTCAAATTCAATCCCTTATCCCATAAATATGGATTTTAAATTTGTAATCTGTGCAAAGCATAACAGCGACAGTTTTCGCAATAGGCGGCTGTAGAACACAGAAAGCAAGAGTGCCTACTTATTTTATTATATGAGAATTCATAGAAATGAGCTATCGAAGCTCAATAATTGTGTTACAATACATCTGTCAAAATGTCATAAAGAAGATATACGTATATATACAGATAATCTACTTAGACAGATACAATATATTTACGATTACTTATCAAACGCTAGATGGGTCAGTGTTTGAAATTTTTCTGCAATGATTCTAGGGTATATTGTAAAAAGTAATGTACGTAAAAAAATCATTTGCTTTGTCTCTGACACATAACATTTTCTAATTCTTAACAATGATAATTATTTATACTATTTTTCATTTTCTTTTAAATGCAAAATAAAATTAGTAATCCGGAATATTTGTATTCTTATACATCATATATCGATTATTTATTTTTTCTTTAAAGCTTTTGTTTACTTATTTCTTGTCACAATCTGAGATAGTGATAGTGAATAGGAGCTTTAATATATAATATAAAATAGAAAACAATAAAATTATTATTACATTGAATATATATTGCAAATATTTTAATTTTTATGATGAATTTAAAAATAATTTAATTTCTTTTGTATTTTCTCGCGAAAAATCTTATTTACAAGATCATCTTATTTAAATACATCTTATTTAAATGAGTAAATACTACGAATATTTTACAGATTTTACATAAATAGATAAATAGAGCGTTAAGATTCTAAAATCACACTTGATTTTCAATACAATACATCTTTCTTATTCGTCTAGATGATTTAAGCGAAATTCTATTCTCTGCAATGAACTTCGCTTTTTTCGTAAAGATCGATAGATCATTGAAGAAATTTTTTTCGATCACAAGATCAAATTTGATTTTTTTAATCTAAACTGTTTTAATGATTCGTAACTCATTGCTAATAATTGTCTCCCTTATCATCAAAAGGTGTCTTCACGAAATACGTTGTAAGAGTTCCTTTGCCTTTCACATAAGTCGGTCCTCGACAAACAAGTTCATATCCGGCATTGATAAGAATCTTGGCAGTGTCTTCAGTGACTTGAAGCTTACCCATTTCACCGCAGCTATCCATTCTAGAAGCCACATTTACCGTATTTCCCCAAATGTCATATTGCGGCTTTTGGGCACCTACAACGCCAGCTATCACCGGACCGTGATTTAAGCCTACAATAAAAATATATTACTTCTTTATTTCATCGAGTTAAAGTGACAATTGACAAGTGTTAATATATATAATTCATTACGCAATTGTTTATCATTTAATATTCTTATTAAAAATATTTAAATTAAAAAAGGTATTTTGATAAAAAGAATTTAATAATGAAAGCGTTAACGATAATATAATATATCATATCATTTCTGTTAGTACCTATTCTTAATTTGAATCTCTGGAAAGAATCCCTGTTGATCTGATCCAGAATTGTCATAAGCGCGATGGCAAACTCGACGAGAACGATCACATTGTGGTCTTGTTGTTTCAATAGGTCCTGCATAAAATAAATGAAGAACAACATTATTTTGATAATTTTTTTTATTAGAATAAAAAATAATAAAAAATATTCTAAGCATATATGTATATACATCGATTTATCATATGGAATTATTTTACGCATGATAAATATTTATTTGAAAGCTTTTCAAAAAGAAATCAAAATTAATTAAGATACACATTGATTATTATAGAACATTATAAATAGAACAGGTTTCTAAAGAAATTACTTAAGCTTTCGGCTTTATAAAATTTAATTTTATGATCTTACTTTGCCATCACCATCCTCTTTTCCTGGGCTTAGCCCGGACGCCAGCATGTAAGTACTACCTATCGTCTTAATTTTTTCGATACCTGAGAACTTCGGCTTGAGTAAAAGCTTGTCGAAGTCACAAATGATTTCATTAAGTAGACGCAAACATTCGAGACCTTGTTTATTTATGTCGGTTTCGTCATAAAATTCCTTGTAATTCGGAATTGACGCAAACATCACAGCAATGCTGCTATATCTTTCATGATAGAGTTCCTAGAAGACGACAATAACCTTTGCTTCAATATCAATATACTAATAAATTAATTGATTTTTATTAATCCTAAGTTACTATCGGAAATATTATCTGGGAGATCCGAAAAGAAATTTTTAAAATATGATTAATATCAAAATTCTTCTAATTACTTTAAACTAATTGTTATAACTTTTTTCCTATTCATGATCCCAGAATAAACAACTAATTTGAATATTCTGCACATTTATTGTGGCATATTTTAAATGCTTACCGAATATTAATTATGTATCAGTTATGTATATTGAAATGTGCAAATTTCATTAATTACGGCATATAAATTAGATTTATTAAAATTATTACTTTTTAATAAATTAATTCATTGTATACACGATGAAAATAATTTTGAAAATCGAAATTTAAGAGCTGACCTGCATAGCTCTCGTAGCTAAAAAGTGATCAGCTACGTGCGCTGGAAGAATATTTTCCAAGAGAATCTTGTTAATGCCTCTCATGGTTTCTACCTCGTCTTGTTCAACTCTCAACTTACTCTTCCATAAAATATCCATTCTGGATGTGTATTCTACTTGTCTGTCGAGAATGTGCAGTATCAGACTGACGAGAACCAGTAAATATCCTACTTGTATCAGATAATGGATGTGGTAAAACCTGCGAAAATGTAGCTCACGTAACATTGCAAGACCGAGCTTGCGATTTATCTCTGTGCTGTTTGAATTTTTAGAACGTCTTACTTACTTGGTGCCAAGGTAGTTCTCGTAGTACATTTGGAATACTGGTGCTTGAGAGAAGATTACGAGTATTATGGTAACGGATAGGAACATTACGCCTAGTTTCAGCAAGAAATCGACTCTCAAGTGTGTCCAGCCAACTACTAATGCTATTACTGGGGAATATATATACACCTGAAAATGTTATTTATTAAAAGCAAATAGGTAATAACCACTTAAGCGTATAAATTTGTCTTAAAAGAGTTTTGTATTAATATATAAAAAAATAATGATAAATAATGCTTTTAAAAAACTTAATAAATGATATAAAAGGAATTGTTTAAAAATTTCTAAGATAACCATGCCATATATTTTTTTAAAGACGTAAATAATCGGAAAATTTTTAATATACGCACTGGTACAATATTGTATCCTGCAACGTAATCAACTTCGATCAGACTAATAACTGATGATGCGATAGCTAATAGTGCCGTTATCAAATATACTGTTATTCTGATACCCCGGCTAAGTGCGATTTGATTCGATGTTTCTTCAATATTTTCAGAGTCGGTTTTTCCACTAAACCAAGAAATTGCAGCGAATATAATTAGGGATGCTAAACCAGCTGCAAAGCAACCATAAACTATGATGCTTCTGTGAAAATAAACGATAAAATTGATTTTTAAAATATTAAGTAGAAATAAATTAATGAAAGAGATTAATTAAGTTTGATAAATTAATTATTAAAATATTAGGTACCGCGGAAAGTTCGTGTCATTGTTTGAAAAGACATTTATAAGGAAAGAAACGATTTTCCGCGGTATCTAATATTTTTAATATGTCTAATTGAATTATATAAATAAAATAAATTACCTAATTAAATAAATACTAATAATATAATAGTTTCTATTTTATGAATATTAAAAAGATAAGATATATTAATAATATAATTTTATTTTGTAGAGTATAGTAAAGATATAGAAATATTGATTTTTTTAACAAATTATGATATTAAAATATTAGAGTAATAGAGTTAATAGAATAAGAAAGTGAGAATATTATATTATATTAAATTAATTAATATTAATATTATATTAAATAGTATTAAATAGTCGACTAATAATATTTGATTAAATTGTAGTTCACCTTGGTAGATAGATGATTTGGATACAGAACATGATAGCGTAAACCACATTGGAGGCCACAACATACCAAAGATATTGCTCATCTCTCTGCTCTCGATATAACTGTTCTTGACTTTTTTCCTTGAACCAAAAGGTAATAGGCGAAATTCCTTCACTTCCGCCACACCAGTGTCTACAATGTACATAAAAATAGAAATCATTTCTATATCGCAAATTACTTGATTTAATATAAGTAAGCATTCTCATATTGTCGTTTCAAAAAAAATTATATAATATTTATCTCAAAAGGGATAGTGAAATAATTAATAAATTGTACCTAATAATAGCTACATGCATACCATGTAATTATGTAGAAATGCGGTAATGAAAAGAAGAGTGATATAATTATTATTAAATTTCATTAAGCTATTAATGATTAAACTAGATTTTTTATATGATATTAACGAGATGTCAGATAAATAATCTTAATGTAATGTTGACATAAAGTAAATAGGTATATGTATGTAACTCACTGTGTATCAAAACAGCTGGCATTATTTGCCAATAGATTTGATTCGATCATTGCTATGCTCTGTCGAAAAAAGTACATTTTAATTATTTGATTAAAACTTTATGGAAATAAATAGTAGCTTACTGTTAGGCCAATATTTTTTGCTAATGTCGCTTCTGCTATATTAGCGAAAGGCTTATCCGCACCCCAACATTCTACGTATTTTGTCATTTTGCTACTAGGTCTGGATCTATAAAAAAATAATATTTATTATTAAAATTATTATTAATAAATTCTATATAATATTATTATTGTTTGTTCTTTAAAAAAAACATAAAAATATAATATAATGTATTATTTTTAACAAGATAATCTATAATATTAAAATAACAGATAAATTTCAAAGAATAGTATATTATAAAATAAAATATTTTTTTATTAAATGTGTATTTTTAATTATTTTTGATACATTTTCTATTCATAATTTATTATGAAACATATAATATATTGATAATTAAAGCTTTTAACTAAAAGCTTTTATTGTGAAGTTATTACTGTTACTGTATATTGACATTTTTGCATAAATGTTAATTTGATAAGAACTGACACAGAATTATGTAAGACATGCCTGGAAGGTATTGGTCCAGGTCCTTGTATACGATTTCCACCATTTTCCATTCCATTTTCTTCTCGATTTTTCTGTAGAGAGTAAAAATTATCAGCAAATTTGCATTTTCTGGAGATATTTTTATTTTAACGCGCAACTATAATGTATATGTGTGTTAGAATTCTCATCAGAGAGAAAATTATTTCAAATAAGATTAAATTTTTTATTTTTATAAAAAAATTATCTACAGAAAATATCTTTGCTGAAGAACATTTATCTTATTATTGTAAGATAGGACAAGCGAACGGAATTTCAAGCAACGGGTATCAATCACTGTCACTATTATTATCAAACATCCGTCTTTACATACAAAGAGTAATATAAATGTTTCTATGATAAAAGAAAAGTTTCAATCATTACAAGGAAGAATTTTCCGTTTTTATTATATTAAAGATTTATATTTCGCATAATCATAATTTTCGTATATACAGAAAAGTAAAAGGCATGAATATGTAAAGAAAAGTAAAAGATATGGTACGCTGAAAGAAAAATGATTTAGCGAGCTTTTAAACAAGTTTTTAACGAGTTTTTAAGATACATATTTATTGAGACGATAAACGGAGCATTACGATCTAAACTTCGTTTATACAGAGATAAGGCGTGGCTTAATTTACTCGGATTTCCTGTTTCACGACGAACTTTATCACTTTGTGATAAATTATTCAATGCGATACTAATGCGAATCTTCTATTCCTTCTCATAAAGGAAACCACTGTTCGTTTGCTTAAATTCTCCTCGTTCAATTGTCTCGTAATTGTCGCGAAAATTTTAGCATTTTAGAACGTAATTTGATTAAGAGTAAGTTATTTTTTGGTAAAGAATTAAAATTTTTACTATTTTATATATAAAATTCAAATAATATTACAAAGTGAATAAGTTAGAATTATAAAAAATTATTTAATATTATTATTTGCAATATAAAAACAAAAAGATACAACTTTTAAGAATCATATAGTTAACTTTCTCAGGAATTTTTATGTCGTGAAATATTACATTAACAGTATACTCACGTACTTATTTGTTTTTTTCAATGAGAAAAATACATTCTTTAAAATATTCTAAAAAGCAATTATTTTTTTGCAATATAAATTAACGTACTACCGGAAATTGCTCTTTAAATCAATTTTTACATTTAATCTTTATATGTATAATTAACACCGATGAAGATAAAGTGTGTATTACTATAGCAAATGAGGATAGATTGGATTGTGTTTTTCCTTCGGCGATACCGGTAAGAGACAGTTGCTTTTGGCGAAAGATTAAGCAACAAGAGTTAAGCACAATATAAATTATTAACAAAAAATTAGAAGTGGCTGAGCAGATAAATGAATTAGATTTTTGTAAAAAAAAAAACTTTAAGTTACAATAAATTTTTAGCGAATTTCTACTTACTTTCGTCGGCACAATAAGAAAAGTCTCTATTTTGTGCTGAGCAAGATAACTTTCCCGAGATCCTCCATTGCCTGGTTCAACTTCAAAATGATCGCCTAGTTGTAGTAAAGTAGCCTTCGTTATATGAACCCTCCTTAAAATTAAAAAGAAATTTTATAATAGAATTTAAATAATATAATTATTTTCTCATTTGTGCATAGTAATCCGTAAAAGAGAAATGAAAACTGGTGAAAATTTTTCTTATGATTTTTATATGAATTGAAGCATTTTTCAGAAATACTCAGAAATATTCGGAAAGTTTACATCTTCTTTCAGAATTTTTCATACAAGTGAATGAAATATTCTGAAATTTTCCTATCCCATAATTTTGAAAAAATATTTTTAAATTTTTTAGATTTTATGACATTTCATCAGAAATTATACAAAAAAATCATAAAAATCTTACAATATTTCATAATTAACATATATGAAAAATTCTGAGAAAAGATGTAAATTTTCTGAGAAATGTTTTAATTCGTATAAAAAAATGTGAGAAAGTTACAAAATTATAGAGAAATTTTGAAAAATTCTAAGAAAATTTTCACCAGGGCATTTACATTTTTTAATTATTTATGTATTATAATATCTCTTTCTCTCTCTCTCTCTCTCTCTCTCTCTCTCTCTCTCTCTCTCTCTCTCTTTCTCTCTCTCTATAATGAGTTTTTTACAAAAAAATAGGATTATTTTTATTGTTGCATAATTATGATCTCATAGAATTTTAGAAATTTCAAAAAATTAAAAAATATTAGTGATCGTTCTCTTTTACAATAATAGATTTTCTATAATAAGTCATTATTTATAAAGCTATAAATCTTAAACTCTAAGAAATTGACCGATCCTAATCGATTATTTTTCTCACATTTGATTGTGATTGATCAATTTCTTAAAGCTTAAGACTTAAACTTAGGTAATGACTTATTGCAGAAGTTTATTATTGTAAAAGAAAACAATGATTAATATTTTGTTATTTTTTTAAATTTCTAAAATTCTATAAAGCTTTAATATGCAACAATAAAGTCCTACTTTTTTTTTTGCAATATTATACAAACAGAAATCAAATATAAGAACAATTATACATTATTATATCAATGTTTCGTAAAATAATAAAATCCCCTAACTAAATAAATATCCCAAATGTTGACAGTTCAATCTGCAGATAACAATAGAGCACTTTGTATGTAATACGATATAAGCGTTGTACCGCAGTGTGGTAGAGATGAAGACCAATACAGATTGAGAGGATCACGACAGTGGTGAGTCGTCTTACCCTGGTAGACCGCCGCTTTCCATGTGATTGGCTAAGGTCACGTCGTCGCTCCACACGTCGAATTGCCATTTCCGCAAACCGAGTACTCCGCACAGCACGTTCCCTGTGTGAATTCCTATCCTCATGTCAACGTTAAAGCCGGTAGCTTCGCGGACAAACCTACATGCAACAAAATTCAATTTGAAAATACTTTTTATCTCGCATTTTTATGAAAATATATTATGTTACTCCTGCATTCTTGCTGCATTGTCTTTTAAATTTGAAGATTGTTTGATGAATTTAGGTTGTTTCATAAATTTAATGTTCAAGATCCGCAAAAATATTAAAGATATCTTTATTATAACAACTAATATTATAAATATTAACATTAATTATAGAGACTATATTTGAATGCCAAAGAATTATGATTAAAGAAAAAATATTTTTTTACTTAATACACAAGATTTTTTACTAGAATGTATTGAAACGTTAAATGTCAAGAACAAGTATTAAAAAATAATGAGCAAACTTTTAAGAATAAATTTCTCAAAACTACCAAGGACAATAAGTAACGGTTGGCTGATCAATCGCATTGTTCTGTAATTAATGTCTATGTAACACTAAGTGGTTCTATTAATCCTCTAATTCACGTTACCGCATTTCGATACGTGAACAATTCGACACGCGTGCGCGCGCGCGCGCGCACACACACACACACACACACACGCACACGCACACACACACATATATCTATGTTTTAAAGCGCAAGAGATATTTAACTAGATTTATGCCAGAATGTTAAATTTTCAACTATTGTCGATCATAATGATGTATGTTTATAACTATATAATGTAACTCAGCATGATGTAAAATTATATAAAGATATTATATTTTTTACTCTTATTTAAAATTATGAAAAAAAATTCAAAGTTTTTAAAAATGTTTTTTCTACAATTTTTTAAACTGAATTACTGAAATAATTGGGTAGGCGAAAAATCTCTGAAATATATTATTTTAATAAGTATCTATATCATTGTACGCATTAAATGTGAGAAAAATGTGAAAAAAGAAAAAAATATTGTCGAATATACTCTGTAATATATTGCAATGTTCTACGTGCTTTTATGGAAAAATCTTTCTTTTTGTACATTTCTCTGCGCATAAAAGTAATGTCGCGCAATTATTTTCACATTTCTTTTTTCATCCTATTAAGCTGCAAACATTAAGAAATGTAGATAGAGAAAAACATATGTAACTAACGAACTAGTTTGTAATGTAGTTTTATTATATTGTATTTTATTTGATCCTCACCTAATGGCATCGATCATTTGCAATCCCATATTAACACAATTGTAAGCATGATTCGGACGGGAAACGGGAAGTCCAGAAACACAATAGTAACAGTCACCCAAAATTTTGATTCTCATGCACTGATTGTCCTGAAACGTCATAAATTAATTCATTATTAAGCTTTTACGTTCCGTAACAAAGTGAAATTTTGCTTCGTTAGCTCGTAATAAAAATAAAAGGATTCTCTCTTCAATAGAAATTTTAAATATTTTTTAAGATAAAAAGTAAAAAAAAGTGTATCGAATATTTTATATTTATTAATATATTTATAATTATTTATAAGCAGTTCTTTATTATTTATATAAATTGTCACAATAAAAACAATAATTCTTGTAGTTATAATTAGTTTTTGAAATAATTGAAAATTAATAAGTGAAAATATATGATAAGATTTGTTAATTAATTAATAAAATCTTTTTGAGACTTGCTTTATAATTGCCCTCTTTCCCTTATTATGGATAAATCAAAATATCCTTGCGGCGATATATCTGCGAAGATAAATATACTACGAAGTCAGAAAATAGACAGAGGCTTTTCCGGCATAGCTTTGATAGTATCGTATATATTTCATACAAATGGAATAAAGTTTTTCCATCTGCGTCATCGTTTGCCTATCGCGAAATATCGCACGTTTGCCAATTCAACTGCAAACGGTAGAGAAAAGAGCGAGAAGTCGAAAAGTTCGAACGAATGCTGAACTAGTTGGAAAACATCTATCGACGCCTATATGATACATGACGCTATTTCTAGCGTAATAGAATTTTGCAGAAATATAAAATTTGAATTTAACTTCGTTTGTGTTACATTATTATAATGGGCCGATTATCTTTTGGTAAATTTTATCTGTTCGGTAAATCTGGCAAATCCGCGCATGATTGGTAATCTT